GTTCACAAAGTGATTTGAATTTGCCTCTTGAACCAATCCACAGAGTCCTATTAGGTTTCTTGTGCTAATCTAAACATTGTTAATAGCATGTGTTTTGATTTTTGAATCCTAAAGTTTTGTCTAGAGTCATGCTTAGTCCTTTACATGTCATAAATTCCTAGACTAGCTTGTTTTAGCCTATAGTTTTAGTATGTTTCAAAATTTCGTTTGGTTTGAGTTTAAATTTGATTTGGCTGAATCTAATTGTGCTTTGAGTGCTTTTTACTTTCATTATTGAGTTCATATTTGCTATTAGACCTAGCAAATTCTTAGATTTAGGTTTCTATTATGTTTTCTAGAATAGTTTGTCAAAAAGTGTCATAAAATCAACTTGCTTCCTAGGTTCTTCTCTATTCCAATTTCTATTTCACTTTTTATGAAAGGAAAACAGAGGAAAAAAGAAGTTCAAAGCTGGAAAAAGTTTGTAAAAAATCCAAGTATATGTGCATGTGAAAATATTGAAAAAAACATGTTTGAAAATGATGTGTTCTAGTTTACAAAATTGAAGTTGAACCTCTTTGTTTGTTAAATCCTCTTCAAATTATTTTTCTATTTGGAACTGAGACTTACAATCATTTGACAAAAGGCATTGAACTCTTGAATTTGAATTTTAAAAAATAAATCAAAAAGAGAAACAAATAAGAAACAAAAACAAAAGTCAAAGGAGTGAAAAAGTTGCATTACATTGCTCTCGATTTCATTGAGTTTCCAGCAACATATATCATGTATAAATTTTGTTTTTAAGCTTTTTAATCTTATCTTTTGTTTTGTAATCTACTTTAGAGCTATTGATAGGACTCCTCTTGAAGTGCTTGCTTTCTTCTTGAGCCTTATTTCTAGTTTGTCTTAATTTGTTGGCATTCTTTCTAGTCTTGTCTCATCTATTATATTTGTAACACCCCAGCAACCCGCATGTGGATATTGTCCGCTTTGGCCGCAGCCCTCACGGTTTTGCTTCTGGCAATGGCACGCATGCCCAACACGGATAATTGGAGTGTGTATCCTAACACAGGAACATAATGTATATATTTAACTTATTAGACTTAGATTTATAGAAAAAATGGTTAAAGTTAAACCTAACGGTAATATGATAAAAATAAAAGTTAATATACAAATTGAATTATTAAAAATATAATAAATAAATTTGTAATTCATAAAAATTAAATTTTTATATTTTTATATTTTCATTACACTAAACATTTTACATTCTTCATTGTGCAAAATAAAAAAAAAATAGAAATTCTTAATAATCACATGTTCATCTTTTTTTTTTCATAATTGGTTATTTAGAATATTTTAAATGAAATATATGAAATATTTAAGAAGTTTTTTTTGTATAATATTATTTTCTTTCATCATACTTCGTGCATAATTGTATATAAGTTAATATGAATTGTTCATTTTATTATAACTTTTTTATTTCTTTATAATCTAAATTTTAATAATAGTGGAGTAAACTATTTTCTTATCACACAATTTAAAAAAAGAACACATATATTTAAAAAATATTGTTGATTTATTTAAAAAATTACTTTTTAATGAAAAATAGGCTTTTAAACATGCTAATAATCATACCAAACTTTAAAAAGATCAATCCTATAAAAAAAATTGTGATAGATAATAGGTTTTAATTTTATAGAACAAGTCTGACTTATATATTCAAAGTCTAACTTAACTTATTTCATCTCTACTCTTGACTTAATAATTATAAGGTCTATCTTAAAATACAGGTCAATTTAGTGTTTTTATGTTTGATTTCAATCTATATTAACATAATGTTTGATCAACAAAGTAGGACATGAAGTCGATGTAATACTTCTAATTTAATTTTTATTTGTGTTAATTCTAATTATCAACTTAACTTTATATCTATTAAAAAGAATGTTTTGTTTGTGTTTCATATTTCTCAACCATTCCATGTAATTTCTCTTCTTTTATTATAAACAACCATAATTTCTTCATCTTTTGACAATAACAAGATCCTAATTAATGAAGCGGGATCAACTCTAATAATTTTTTTAACGGCATCGTCTCTTTTTCTCTCAGATTCATTTGTTTGCATAGATTTATGACAATGGAAGTATGAGCAAAGGAAGTCTCATAGGAAAAAAGTATACTTCTCTGATTCGATTTAAAAAAATAATATA